GGGGAGGGGGGCGGGGAGGGGGGGGGGGCCGGGGGGGCGGGGGGGGCCGGGGGGGGGGCTCTTTTGTTTCGAGCCCTTTCCCCTTCAGGCAGAGACCTCCGAGCTGCTGCAGCATTCGACGAAGGAAAGGGCACTGCTTGGGAGCCTCCGCTTTTTGGGTTTTGAGGGCTTTGTCGAGGGATCTTACCCATAATAAGGAATATACCATAATTCCCATAATGTAGGGATCTAGGATAGCAGAGTTAGGGCTGAAAGCATTTGGAGTTGGAAGGTTTCCGGGCTTGGGGTTTACGATTTGGGGTCCTCGGGGCTCCGAAAGCAGTGCCGGCGTTTGTCAATCAGCCATACCACGCGCACCTCCTGAGACCAGCCATGGGCATGCATGACTTGTACATGTGACCAGTGACCACCTGTTTGCTGATGTTCCTTGTCGTGCATGCAACTCATCTGATAGGCATCGATTCCAAGATAATTAACATGCATAAGCAGCACATTATGATGATGTTGTTGTTGCTGTCGCTGTTGCTGCTGTTGTTGTTGCTGTTGTTGTAACAGCTTTTGTTTCGACAACGTTTGTGAACGACAGTGGGCCGCAGAGTGACTGGCTGGTTGTGTGCGACGCAATTGGCGACGTTGCAGTGCTGCTATGTGCAAGTATGTTGCAAAACCTCACATTTCAGGCCTGATGACATGCATGGGTATGAAGCGCATTCTGGCTGTTCACACCGTCCGCGTGCCTTTCCTGAGCTACGTAATCGAGACAACTTTCCTCCATGATCAGATTGCGAGGACGCATTTCAAAGCTGTCCAACTATGTACGTCGTTGTGTCTGCGAGTGAAGCATGTGACTGCCGTGGCCGTCGCGACGGGGACCATCACCAGCCTAATGGTGCTGATGCTGATGTAGAACGGCTAGGATGTTCTTTTCAATCTCCCATGTCTGTCATGTTGGTACGACCACATGTGAGTTTATGCAGAATCAAGATGAGTTCGCGCAGGTGTGCGTGTGTGTGTGTGTGTGTCTCAAGAATCTGGGTTCTCCAGCTTTCGCTGTCGTCTTTGTCGGACGCTGAAGCCTGCTGTGGCTGGTATGACAGCAGGACTTTCCTCTTGTGATTTATCGCTTGCACGATGGTGGTCACGACTTCGATGACGGCGACAATGCAGCTACTGGCATCTCACATGTCTCGGCATCATGACTGGCTAGATGCTGTGGTGCACGAGACGCTTGCCAACACCAGCTCTCTGCTTAGATGGTAAAGATGATGATGACGATGATGATGCAGGCATGTTTTTCACATTTAGCCTTTGGGCCAGCACACACAAGGAACCCCCTATCCCTGGAGTAGTTCCGTTCGTCTCAGTGATGGAACTAGGACTCTCCGTGTCGCAATACTTTGGTTGAAAGGGATCAGCCTCCGGCTTCGGATAGTTCGGAGAACTTCACTCCGAATCTAAGGATCCAGATGTCGGACAGTTTGCTAGCTCACTGCAGTCTCCATGTAGGCATCCAATAAAGCCCACTTTCCCTCGACCAACCGGAGACGGACGTTTCGCCACAAACAAAATTGGGCCAGGATGCTTGGTGGTGGCAGCGTCATCGCTGGGGCTACAACCGCTATGGGTACAACCGCTACAACTCGCAGCCTGGATTGCAAAGACCTGGTGGTGGGTGAAGCTCTTTAGGTATGTGCCTCGCTCACATGCCACAGGTATGGGTAGCTGTGGCATATGTGCACATGCATGCATGGATGCATGTAGGTATACCTGTATGTGTACGCTTATACAACTCACGCGTCACGCATCGGTATGCAAAAACGTGTAAGTGTGTGTCACATGTACACACAGTAAGCGTATGCATGTATGTATGCATGTATGTATGTATCTACACATGCATGCATGGATGGATGGATGGATGGATGGATGGGATGTATGTATGTACGTAAGTATGTATGCATGTATGAATGTATGTGTGTATGTATGCAAGTATGTATGTATGCATGTACGAATAGGGATGTATATTAATATGTGTATATGTATATACATATGTAAAGGTATAGATAGATGGATAGATAGCTTCCTAGCGTAGGAACCGGATCAAAACACACCGGTTCTGGCGTGCGACTGTTATGATGAACCCCATTGGTTGGCAAGTAGAACAAGAGTTGTTCGCAATCAGCTTCCTAGAGGCATCAAGAGGCAAAGAGCAGGCAGTCACATTGCAGCTGCTCGACGCCCCCGAGCCGTTAGGGCCGTTAGGGTTTAGTGTTTCGCGTCCAGCCCAGCTCAACATTCATGCCTGTCGCGCTTTCAAAAGCACCAAGACCCACGAACCAGGTACGGCAAGTACAGCTCCTACGGTGGCGGAGGACGCTTTGCTGCACCCGCTTAGCCACATGCGGACCAGACCCCCGCCGAGCTTTGGGGGGTTTCGACCATGTTTGGGCGGCCCAGCAGGTTGTTGCCCACAGTGGTTTCACAAAAATCGTCCATTGTAAGAGCTCTAAATGGAGATTTCAACAGATTCGGCGTCCGTGTCAGGGAGGTTTCTGGTATTTCGGATCCGACCGCTCAGGGCGCGTCTGGGACACTTCCGGGCTGCAGGTCTCCTCCACATCGGATGAGCATCATTCGCGTTTTCGACCCGACACCAGGAATTCCAAACTCTGAGCTCCAAAAAGCCCCGAAAGGATCGCCGAGAAGCCCGAAGACCCGGAAGCAAGAGAGAAGCCGAGGAAAGAAGCCCAACATCCTAGTCATCATCGTCGACGATCTCGGCTTCAATCAGGCGCAACACTCGGAACTACAGCTAGGAAGCGCATGCTACAGCTGCAGCGTAGGCGAACTCGAATTAGCAGCATTAGCATCACGACTGCTCTGACTGCTTTTCTGGGCGCTAGGCCACTATCGTCTCGGCATTGTGTGAACTAGCCGCGAATCTTGATTTCGAAGGCTGCTGGCCTTACTCTACGACTAGTTGAGCGGTAATTTGGCTTGCGGGCCTCGACATTCCGGTCACAACTCTGAGGGCTCGTACTGATAGCCTTGCTTTTCCAATTGCCAGCATGAAGACTCCACTGCAAAATAATCCATTGATGTAATCAGTTGTGCTTTCATTTTTGGTTGACTGTTTTTCGGGCGCATAGAAGGTTTCCAACATGTTAAGCTATGCATTTCAGCCCTCCACATCAAGATCCTGAGCAACGTCATGTGGTTTCGTTCAGTTCGTCTGGTTCGCCGATGCTGCTTTCCTTCTTCTAAATCACCAGCACCATCCGGTACAAGATGAAGCCATGCACTGCAAGCCTGGTTAGCACCCAACCCTGGCCATCAACGTGACAATGGCAACCAAATTTGATCAAAGGTACGGGTAGTGCTCTGGCAGTGTAGCAATGCTAAGAAGATGAGTAGGTATAGGAGCAATATCAACCAGAATCAGACCAGATGATGATGAAGAACAGCAATGTGGTTATGATGCCAGTAAGATCGACTCGGAAGCTTTGTTGTCAGGTTGGATTCCGTGCCAATCCAAACAACTCGGATGTCGTCACCCCCCACATCGATCAGCCACATGTCGACAGAATCCGCTTTCGGATGCTTCTGACGTTCCCTTCCTTGTAGTTTAATGTAGAGGTACCTACATATTTGTTGGGGACTTTTCAGCAGCAACCCAGTCACAACCTCTCTCGAAGATAGAACAGCCTGGAATGTTAAACTCTCCTAACAAAGCCTGAATGGTGGGTGTCCTGCCGACTCGGGTGGACACCCCTCTACCCTTAACCCGGGCAGCATGGCAGCCTCACGAGGAATCTCAAGAGATGTCTGAGGGATCGTCTTAAGTTTCGGGACTTCGAGTTTGTGTACAGGGTGTGTGTTTGTGCATGTTGCAGTGGCTTGTGTTTATGAATACCTATGTGTCTCTGCGTAAAGATGTATATATATATATACACACACAAACATGAATATAGTTTTGGGTGTGGCATGGTCCCCTGATTGTAGCTGCAAGTCCCCAGGGGCACGATGCAAGTGGGCACCATGCAATGAACTGAAATGGCTAGGAGTGCTTGGATTGGGGCCATCGTATCACAGCCCTAAACTCTAAAACCCTAAGCCCTAAACCCTAAACCTTACAACCCTAAAAGTATCAGCTCTGTGTGCACAGCTGTCGATTATCAAGGTCGGTTTTGTGTCGCTCGACAAGCAGATGACGTCATGACTGCTCACTCTGCACAGAGAACTGTTCGCTCTGGCGGGTGATTTCGTCCATCGACCCTGCCAGACGACTGCCCGAATGTGCCTTACAAGCCTACAAAGCACGCCTTCCCCATATCGCGGCTAACTTTGGGCCCCCAAGCATTCCATGTTGTTGACGGATATCTTCGATCTAGAACAAGCAGTGTTGCCAGACACGGTTTGAAAGTCCGGCAAGAATCGTGGACGTTTCTTGCTTGAGAATCATCTCCCACAATGCTGTTGCTAGCTTGGTGAATGCATCCGCTTTTGGTTTCAACCACCCTCAGTCTTTGGGTTGGTGCTGTTGGCCAGCTTAGTATCCCAGGCTGGCAGGTGAAGGCATCGTCATGGATCGATTTTATGCGATGCTCAGCTACAAGATGCTAAGTCGTTGTTGAAGATGGAGATGTATCGAATTTGTGTCTGTTTGTTGAGAGTTGAGAAGGGGCGTGCTTCATGGCTACGGTTTGGTGGAGGCCGCCTGCCTCACGACAGTTTGGCTGCAATGATTGCACGAAGATGACCTTTTCAGCCCGGAAACCCTGCAGCGACTAAGCCCGAGGACTCCTTGGTGTGCCCCAAGCCGCGGAGCCTTGCAGACAGGCGACGTTTCGTACGTTTCAGAGCCCGTGCCCATATGGCGGACTCTCAAGATAAAGGCCCTTCTACTTTTTTTGTGGAATCTTTGTCTGAAAGATCCTACCACTCGCGGTTCTTGTTGGTGTCCCCCGATGTTCCAAATGTCCGCATCATGCAGGCATACACAAGCGCGATAGGTAGAGGCATCCCTTTAAAAATATATTACTGTACATACACATATTTACACATGCATGTATATATATATATATATGTATGCGTACTCTGTTGTCACTTACGTATGTGTTCATTTGTATTAATGCGTGCAGGTCTCGGAAGCGAATGCTTGCCAACGCAGCTCTTCTCTGAGACGTTTATATGGTGTAGAATCAGTGTAGAACTGCAGCTCGACATGTTGGTATGCGTGTGTATGTATATATATATATATGTATGTATATATATTTTCTCAAGTCTGTACGCATTTGCACATGTGGATGGGTGTTCCCACACACGCACATCTATACGAACATATACATACTTGTATAATATGTATGTATGTATGTATGTATGTATGTATGTATGTACGTATGTAGGTATGTGTGTGTGTGTGTATGTGTGTGTATGTATGTATGTATGTCCTAGGACATCATGTGACCTGTATTCCGCAAGTTGTAAAAAAGAGAAGTTGCTGCACAAACTGTAGCCATGTTGTACCAATTACGGCAGAAGTGAAGAAGCGCATGTATGTTAAATATACCGAACATGCAGAGTTGTAGACGAAGCTAGCTTTTGGTCATTAGCAGCATGCACTGCTTCACGATAAGGCGCTGGTTTCAGGAAATGGGGGAAGCCGTATTGATCAACGATGACTCGTCAACCCGTTTGGCGCAGGCCGTTTGGATGCCTTGAATCCATATTTGCCGAACAATGCCGGCGACCCAGATGTCTGGCTCACCGCAGCAATAAGGAGGGTAGACGATCTAGCTTAATACAACTGGACAGCCTTGTATCGTTTGCAGGGGCCCTGCAGAAATTTTCATGTCTGAAGCTGTTTAGTTGGAAGCACTGGGCCTTCCATGGTATGGATGATAGCCGGGTTTAGTCATTGTTGGCATAAATGCTAAGAAGTTTCTCAATAAATCCCCCAGTCTCCTTCCCAGCTTCCTGCCTGGCGAGTCAGCGCTGTGTCTGAGGCCCTAGACTCCAAAGATCTGAAACCCGGAACCCTCGGCTCTTTGAGATCCTAACCGTCCTAACCCCTACTCCCGACACCTCGCATCGTGCAACAGAGAACCACGGCCTACGGCCGATGTTGCTCGCAGAAGCTTTGCCGCGATTAGGACAGGCCCTACAGGCCCCACACCCTAAACCCCCACTATACCCCCAGGCCCGAAGCTCAGCAGCCAGGTCTGGAATTGGGATCCCAACACCAGCTACGTGGACCTGGACCGGCCACAGACGCAACGCCACAGTCGGGATGCATTCCAGAATGCTTGTAAGTTCAAGCGCTTCCCCTGCACGCGATGAAAGTGTACTAATGCGTACAGCATGATCTGCACAGAGATCTAACAGTTTTGGGAGCTCTCGTGTCGGAGGGTTCTAGGCACTCTGGAGACTTCTTGGTCTTGGGGTGGACTGGGCAGAAGCTCGTAAAACAAAAAACAGCCCAAGAGTGACTTCGCTTTTTTTCAGCCTCCGCCGCCTCTTTTCAGGACGGAAACACGATCCCGACGTCCTTCGTCGGAGGCGGCAAGCCTGGGGGTCCCAAAACCACCAAAAAAAAAGGGCCCCCACCGGGGAAGAAAAGGGGAAGGTTCGAGGAGAGGGCAGTAGAAAACAGGGGGCCCCTAAAAACGCAGACTCTGAGACACAAAGTCGGATAAGACGCGACGGTCGGATTCTACCCGCTCAGACATACTAGTTACTAGCCCTCAAGGTCCGACCCAGCGGCTTTAGGGACCGAGCACGTTTCGCCAGGCGTCCAGCCAGGGACTTTCACGATCGCGAACCGGCTGCAGGACTCAATACGATTTGTTGCTTGGTGTTGCAGGCGTAAACCTAAATCCCAAGCCCCGGTTTCCGGGCGCTTAGATGGAAGAAAGCTTTGGAGCGGCGTTTTGGACTTTCTTGGATCGTGAGGTTTTGAAACGTTCCGAGACCTGTGCATAAGTTGAAGAAGGGACTTGTCGATCCGCTCTTACACCCGAGCTTTAACCTGAATCCAGCAAGTGGGCGACTGTGAAGCAGAATGGTGCATGATAGGGCCTTTGCTGGCGGCATCTACTTTGTATGAGGGAAGCTGGGAGCACATCCGGGAACGGACTCCACCATTCGGCGGGAGAGTTTAAGAAAGGCCACCGAAAGGCCACCCACCGCATTGGACACGACCGACCGATACATCCACGGGTGAGCTCTGACCTCGACCTTTGTTGGAGCGGAGGGCGGTGGGCGGCCCGTCCCGAGTGGCGACGTCCCACATCTGGAAGTCGTGGCTACTCCGACTACACGCGAGAAGAATCGGGGCTTGGTTGGGGTCTGCGTCCCCCGAAAAAGAGAGAAGCTCAAACCCTCGATGAAAAGCCACAGCAAAACATCCAAACCGCAGAAACTCCAAAAGCTGCATCCTGTGGCCTGGAACCATCAACGCTAGGACACCTCCTATCCTCTACTCTAGAATAAGCCTCAATTTTCTACAACCAAACACTTCGAGCACTGAATTGCAGCATCCCGAGCGAGATAGCGTTGTTCCTGTACTTATTTGTTGTTGTGATTGTCCTAAATATGATTTTGGTATAACCTTCAGAACAACGGAAGCTACCCAGAGCCAGAGGAGCTGGGATACCGAAATCACCTGAATGGCAAGTGGGGCATCGGAGGCGGTGCTTATCTCAACACGCCCATGGGCATGGGCTACGAGCCGCTTGGCCCGGTTGTGTGCCCACCTGCTTCGAGCTGGCCCGTGTTATATGTTAGCTATACCATTTTAAAGGTCAAACGACATGATTTCTTCTAGAAGAACAGAAGGCCTGTTCTACGATCGCCAGGTTTTGATCCCGAGCCTTTCTGACCGAATCTGTGGTCGCGAAAACCCGAGAGCCCCAAACGCTGTGCCCAAGACATCGCCCAAGACATCGATTCCTAAGCCTGTTCAGTCGGACACAATGAGAAAAGTCCGACAGACGTCGTTTGCTGCTTGGAGCAGCCTAGCGAAACACAGAGAATCCTATCTGAAGTCTACACCCCTGCCCCGGTTGCGGCCCGAACCTTTTGCCGTCAACGTATTGCGACTGCTTGAGGACATTCATGGGCTGGTTCGGTGACAGCATGGAAAGCTGCGACGGCACCGAGCCGGGATTCGCAGTGGGAGGCGCGCCATGACGACGAGTCGTTCAAACTTGTAGCTCTTGGTGGAAGTTCCCTGCCTTCGACCCGCAAGGTTTCGAGGTGCTCGCCAGCCCAACTTGCAGAGCGTGCAGGATTCCACCCCCAATCCAAGCGGCCAGGAGCTTCGCCCCTGATGAATGCTCTGCCGGGCTTCTGGCGACAGGCGGGGACGGATGGCCGAAGCCAGAAACCGCGCGCGGAATGTCATCTGACAACGTCGGGGGGAAGGGTTGGTCAACCATGTACATGCCCAGAAGCTTGGAACACCGCCTTTACGTTGGACCTTCGAGAGCCTGACAATGCGGCTTTTCTGGCATAAGGGCATGCAGGTTGGGCTAGGGCCCTGTGCTAACGGCTCGTACACGGAAATGGCGTCGCGCGAGGTTCTTCAAATTCCCAACATATGAGGTTGTCACTGCGACAAAGCCAGAGTCAAAGGCTTCCTGCCGCAGGATGGTATGGAGACCTACAATTCCTCCTGGTGCGAGCTGGTACGACACTGGGCCAAAAACTTCACGCTTTTTTGGCAGAGCCATTGATTCAAGATTCATGTCACCTCCACACATCCTCTGCTGCTTGAGAGTCCCGGAGTAGCCCGTAGACCCCAGATCCGACCATCCGGGAGCCGAGAGAAGTGCTGCAGGTGGTAACACACAGCTCAAAGCAGCTTCTGAATGCCCCCTCCCTCCCATAAGCAGCGCCAGCAGGCTGGAGCTGCTAGCACTTTGAGGTACCACTAGCAACGTCGTGAAGAAAAGTGGAAGCAGCAGTCTCTACAGACTGGTGAGTCTTTGCATTGTCATTAGGGCATAGGTTCCTGCTACCGTTCGCACATCATCTTGTACCCATTGGCGGAGCGGTGGTTGTTGAAGCATTTGCCGGTTACACGTTCTTTCATCCAACGCCGTGGATTCCTGCCCAGTCGCGGAGCTGCGTCTGGGAAAGCTCGACGAGCTCGAGGCGATGGTTGGCTGCAAGAGTTACAAAGAGGCCCGGAAGGGAGGGCCGGGCTACCCGTTGCCGAGCTCCCAAGATCCGGGCCCAAAAGGATCCTGCTTTGTGCAAAAAAAGGCATCTCCAAAGCCGCCTCAAAGCTCCGGATGCGAGCCTTTTTAGAGCTGGCAAAGCCGAGCTGCTCCGCAGAAAACTCGGTCCTCTCCGCAGGCACTCGACGATGTGGCGGATGAGAAAATCCGGCGGCGGTCGCGGCAGATCATTGCGGAGCACGACTACGGGGAGGTCCCGGGGGGGGGGGGACCCCTTTTTTTGGAGTGGTCCATAGCTAGTCACTGTAGGCCTTCCAAAGATCCTTTGTTGAGGCTTCCTTCTGCAATGCAACTGTGGCAACACTTTGAGGAAGAGCGAGAGCGAGAAAGAGAGAGAGAGAGAGTTGCGCAGAAGGGGGCCGCATCTGCCATAGACGTCTTACCGCAGACTTTGGAGACCAGGGCGCGTGCGCGCGCGGAGTGGGCTGCATGCCTGCTCTTAGCTGTGTGGAAGAAGAGAGAGAGAGAGAGAGAGAGAGAGAGAGAGAGGGAGAGAGAGACCTAAGCTCGGCGAAAGAAGAGAGGAGGAAATAGGTCCCTCAACAAAACAAAGAGAT